TGGTCTTTAAAGATTCGTGAAAAAGCATTTGCGACCTTATCTGTCAAGCCGCGTACGCGGACAGCGCGGCCTCCTCGGCAAGTTGTTCCCTCATCGAAGACTACAATGAATAAAAGGTACGATCGAAATCTTAATGCCTGAAGAAAGCGCAAGTTTAAAATAATTCTAAGGGTGTCAGTTGATTTTATTTCTACTATATTCAAATTTCAACTCTCGTCGCGGGCAGCATGAAAGGAAGCACTGCACTCTTGGCGCAAACCAGTGCCCAGTCAACGGTCCTACACTCAAACACGCATCACCACCCGACCTGTTTGAAAAATAAATAATTTCCAGTACTTTTGGTAGAAAAGGCGAATTTTATACTGAGCGTGATATTTTGTGGACCCAAAAGTCCTGTAGCGGAGATCGGTAGTTCATAGCTTCAGGAAGACGAAGAACGACGGATGCATTATTTCCCGCGGAAGTACTGTTTTGACTTTGAATTCCACATAAAATTGTATATGCACAAATTGTGGCACGATACCGAACTTGCTTGATTACTTTTCTTTTAAAGACAACATAACCAGGCATAATCTACAGATATTGCAGAATTCATTTTAATTGGCGTACAGCGCGAAAGACAAGTATGGACATAAAGAACACAATAGAGCTCTGCATTTCTACTGCCTTTCTTTCCGTACTTCTGGACAGTTAGTCCGCATGACTATATTCAAAAACTGCCAAATCGTTTAAGCCTACCCCTTTTTATAGTTTTCTTCGTAGATGAATTGTGGCGAATCCCGGATGGGTTCGGGTAAAGATCTCGCACGTGTTCAAGGACACATTTCGGCATGATTTCCTGCTTGGTGACGACGTTGAGCTGACCGCTGTTCCGCTTCTTTTCTAATTATCGGGGAACGCCAGAGGCCAGACGCCTAAATTAGCGAAATAGCCCCAAAACTTGCGGTAGCACACCTTCCGAACTCCTGGGTTTTTTTGGAGATGGCCTTCGCCCACCCTGACAAAGCCCCAAATAATTATGTAAGGGCTCCAGAGGCTATCTGGGCATTCCATTTCTTCATCAGCGAACAAATGCGAACAGAAGAGAATGAAAACTTCGTAATACCTGCTGTCTTTTAATAAATGGCATAATATGCTACTATTGCTAGTTGCACAATTTTACGCGAAGAAAATTGTGATTTTGCGGTTCAATCTCCGTGTTTCCCGTTCTCTTTGCTGATACGCAAGATATTTGTCGGGTGTCAAGTTTTCAGTTACAATTGTTGACAGAAACTAAATGCACGTTTGGCCACGAAGAAATTTTTTTCAAAGGCTGAAGATAGATAAAATATACCATAAACCGTTTCAGTTTTTATGGAAGTTTGTTTCTACTCTTCTTAGTAGCTTCAACGAGGCGGCCGTCACTCTAGAAAACACCTGTAGTACGAACCTATATATTATGCCCCAGAAATGGTCAGACTGTGTCCCTCTGACTGCAATATCTTTGACTTGTAATTACTCATGATTATTAGTTTGTACAAAAAACAAAAAAAAACAATAGTGATACAATCACTCGTCAGTGTGCCGTTGTTAGAACGACAAATTTTCAACACTTTGGGTAGAGCTCAAAGTTCGGATAAAAATACCCATATTTTTTCCTTCTGCTGTGATGTTCAAGTTCCGTTCACTCGAGATAAATATGCGGTGTTGTAGCGTGTGTGGCCGCATGCGGAAGTATCTGAATGTAAAAGAACTTGTTGTTGGGCTAGTTGGTGTTGACTATCTGAGTGTGTTTTAGAACAGCAGAAAAAGAGCAAAAAAAAAAGAAAAGAAGAAAAGCGAGCCAGCCCGAACCCTTCCGACCTCATATCCAGCCTGCCTAACTAATCCCTGGTGTTTGGGATTGAAGCAAAGAACCTTGAAGGGTTATAGAGATTTTGTCGGGGGGCCGGTAAGCCCATTAGCACTCGTGCGAGAAGGCCGTAAAAAGCGAGGAGGAAAATGGAGGAGGAAAGGGGGGAGGAAAAAAAGAAAAGAGGGGGAATCTTCTGCCACGCTGAAGAAAATTTTGAACGGCGTTGGTGCAACCGGCCCTTAGTGACTCTAGGGGTCACTTTCGATCGCAGACTGGAACGTGTGAGATATGCCAGCTGAACAAAGGAAGAAAAATACAAGACAGAGAGAGACACACAAGGAACATACACATGCACTCCGCTGGACTAACAACCATTTACTGGATAACATCCTTTCTTTCGTCGACTTTCATTTAATGGAAACTTCTTTTCCTTCGTCGACTTTAGTTATTGCCTATATTTCTTCCTTCGTTCAGCTCGCATATCTCAGAAGCATGAATAACCAACCTGCTCAGCTTCAGGCAATCACAGGCTGAAACGCCGGTTTATCGCTTTAAGCCCCTCTACCTCGTTGGCGTTGCCATCGAAAGGTGACGCACTCCAGAAGGTCCATTCTCGATCGTGCAGCGCATGTGTATTGTTTGAGGCGTGCGCTCGCGCATGTAGCTGCTTGTTCGCTCGCACTTGTTTGCCTGCATGGTCAGTGTCTACCGTACCGATTTTCGAGAGAAGACTTCCGAGATGTGCCGACCACCATTTAAATTAGTATAATATAATATAATCGTTTATTTTCACTCCAAAGGGGTGTGGAGAGCGGGGAAAAAAGCTGCAGCTGCAGCTTGACAGGCCCCTGCCCCCCAACACTTGACATAGAATACAGTTAACTAAATAATCGCTCAAAGCATAGCAGAACATTTAAAGTCTAACCAACCAAGAGGTGGAGCCAATAGCTGCTAGGAGTTGCACAATAACCTTGACTGTGAGGTATGAACCTGTTCTACATGTTCTGTTCGACCCAAATCTCAGTGTACTTCCAAGTTCATGTTGTGTAAAGGCTTTATGAAATCTTCTCTGGTTCACAGAGGTTCTCAGCATCTTTGAAACAGCCTTCGGAGGGATGGTCAGAGGACAGGTCGGCGCCGGAAAGCAAAGTTGACTGAGCGCCTCCCGAAGAGTTATCCGGGACACCTTCGCACAGAGGCGCCTCCGATGGCCTCATACTTTCAGGCTTCCTTTTCTAACGGGGCACATATTCCGGGAAGGTCGCAAGCACGCTTGGGACGGTGTCGGGCTTCAGACTCCACTTACCCCGTAGCTTTAAAACGAGTTCTCCACGAGTCTTGTGCTCGAAGTACTTCAGGATGCCCTCTTTCCTAAAATGCAAATCCCAGAGGAACTTTCTGTGCGATAGGTCTCGCCAAGGGAAGTTTCTCGCCCATAAGGAGCGTCGTTTCTCGTCCAAAAAAAACTTTGAAGAAATGTTTCGCATGAGTACCTGGCACCGACCGTTTACGATGTCGACGCTCCGGTGGGCAGCACGGCACCAGCATATTTTGATAAGATTGTAGACTCAGATTGTCGCTTCACAAGTTTTGAACGATCTGTGAACTCTGATATCCTGGTATAAGCTTCCCTGCGTTGTTTTTTTTAGGTGTGAAATACGCGCGGGCGTCCCCGTCGCGGCGATTGCAAACTACCGAAGGAATGTTCGCGCGCGCGCGATCATTATTTTGCACCGGTAGCAGACGACACTTGAGATATGGTTCACGGTCAACAGGAACACAGATTCAATGTTTTATTAGTTAAAGAAAGTATTGGAATTTTGTTATGTGGCTACCAACAGCAGCAGAAACAATTTGAAAGACGTCTGCTGCTGTGAAAAAGAGCGCCACAAACATCCGTAAGCTCTGTAAGCCAGAAGGAACGGCTAGAGCCACTAAATAAGCTGCGCTTAGAGTATCGGCACTCCGTTCCCCGACATTGTTGTGGGCGCCGCCATTTTGGCTCGTATGCAGAGCAGACGCTACGGCCGATCCTCATGATTCAAAAGTGCGACTTCCTCAGCATTAGATTCGGTGATAGGAAGGTCATGTATTATTGCTTTGCTCTGTCGCGGACGGTTTAAACATTTGTGGAGGACGGAAAAGCATTTCCTGTGATCTCAGATAAAGCTTCAGATAACTGGCAACCATGATTTTACGACACAATATGGCCAAGTGTCGTTACTCTGAAGCGTAGCTTATTTAGTGGCACTAGGAACGGCCAGAAGCGCGGCCAGAAGCGCGCCGTCAATGATGATGATAGCCAGTATGAATGCGAAGCGCGCGACCTTTGACAGACGCCACGCCAAGGGACCAGACACGGCTCTGCAAGGGACCTCCCTCCGGAGCGGAGTTCCACATCTGAGTTGGTTCTATACTTCGTTTCAGCTTCGGTCCAGACGCAGTCAAAGCTACAAGCGCGAGCTCCGGGCTTTCAGCATCCCTGCCAAGCACGCGCGCTCGTGCAGTGCAAGCACTGTTCTGGGCCACGTGCTCGCGCTTGTAGCATCGGCTGCGTCTGGACCGAAGCTGAAACGAAGTATAGTAAGGTTGGTACGCGTTACGAAAAAAAAAAATAACGAGATACGTTACTTCCTCTTTTCAAATAAAAGGTACACGTTACAGACCTACGTTACATCCATATAAAAGGAACGCGGTACCGTCCCTCAAACAAAGTGACAAGCTTTACTTTCGCGTTATTGTCATTCGCATTACCTGTCATCGACAGCGACGGCGTTTTTCAACAACGGGACAAGGGGTGTGGGCCTTGGGCTTTTTTTTTTAAATGAAAGTTATTGCGTGGGAAAAAGCGAGGCGACATTTTGGAAGTATGTTGGGAAGAGCGCAATAATTCTGATAACTTGGCGCCTAGAAACGCGAAAACTATTGAAGCGGATTTTTCAAGTCTAGGGATAAGGAGGCAACGAGTAGCGCAATTACGCTACCCGTTACGTACACGTTACAAAACAGTACGTTAGACGTTATTGTTTCGAAAATGTAACAAGTACGTTATTCTAGGTTAAGTAAAAAAAGTAAGGCGCTACCGGTAACGGCGTTACTCGTAACGCGTGACCGCTAACCCTGGAAGAAATGGAGCGGCGGAAGAGGCCGGTGCGTGGCGACTCACCAGTTGGTGAGGCAGACGGAGATGCCGGGGAAGCGCAGCGTCTGCGTGCTCTCGATGAGTACGTCCACCACCGTCGGGTACCGGAGGTAAGAGACCAGCGTGCCGGCCGTTTGGTACACCAGCCCACTCAGCATCAGCAAGCCGCTGAACAGCCGCAGCGCCCGGAACAGCCGCACGTGCCTTCAGAGAAACCGTCCCCCATCGTCAAGACTGGGATGGCTGGGCTCTTTATTACATGGAGGGCATGAAAGATGCGGGGCCGAGGCAAATGTGCACGCATATTAACGCGACAGGGTTCGGTAGCTCGTGTCGCATAAAGTCTGGTGTGGGTGGGGCCATGGAACCCCGTAATGCAATGGGCGCAGCCACGTGTGACGTCACGCAGCGCGTGACAGACGTCACACATGGCTTTGACGTCACATGACACGTGTCGCTACCGACGGGATCGTGCACAGATGCTTGAACGGCTTGAGAACGAGCGCGGATTTGTATGAAAAGGCTTTGCGAACGGCGCCCGATAACGCTATCGCTTTCCACTCTCAAAGGCGAAGCTTAGAGGGACACTGACAGGGTATTTACGCTCGTCAAGGTTTTTATTTGTACATGAGAGCCCAAACACCCTGAACGCAATGTGCGGATCGAAATTCGTTTTTTTTTTTTTCCGCCTGAAAACCACCGATCAAGAACTGGCCCTTTTGAGTCACGCTCACTCTCTTCCCCGTGGTCACGTGCCGTCTTTTGTAGTTTAGACACGACAATCAAAGATAATCAAAGTCGTAGGTGATGGAAGTCGCACACTCAGTGCTAAACATAGACAACAATATTATGCCCATTTCTTGTGGCTTGCACAAAGCTGGAAATACGTTGATCGAAAAAAATAAAAGTTCCACAACCACGTGACTTCCGGCAACTTTCCTCTCCTCTATATTTCTTCTTCATCCCCAGTCCAGTTGCAGTACCGATTTTGAGCAGTTTCGTTTTTTACTTTATTAAAAATATACGTGATGCTGTAGCAAAATTTTGATTGGGCAGTCTTCTGACATTATAATAAATCGCCTGGCAAAAAATAAAAACTTTTTTTTTAGGGGGGGGGGGGGGCTTTTTTTTTTGGGGGGGGGGGGGGTCATTGTCCCTTTAAGCGTCCTACAATTTTCTATAGGTTCGGGTGGGGGAGAGAAAGGGGTGGGGCTTCAATATCATCTGTTGGGCTAGTTGGTTAGACATGATCAGATAAAATTAGCGCAAACGACAAGAGAAGAGAAAGGTAAGACAGGACAGGACAGGACAGGGGTGGGGCTTCGCTTCTGCTTCTGCTTCCCCTCATTTACGCATTTCCAAGAAAATGAGCCACACGAGCACAACGTGGGATTTTCCTGACAAGATACAAGCTGTTTGAAGGAAGACCCCTTCAATAAACACTTTCTTATTGTGTAGTAAGCATTTTTCCATGCTTTGTTCAATAAAGACATCATAGCTGATGCAAATTCGATTCTACGAAATTTGGAGCGTGTCCTCTTCCGCAAAGCACTCGGGAGAGCCAATCGCTGCAATCTACGGAGGGAACTCGGCCGATGACGTGGCCAGGGTGAACGATAGCCAGGTGAGGAATCGACCACTGAGACCTCACACAGCGGTGCGACCAGAGCCGTTTATACTGAGAGAGTTTAGCCTTCTTAAGGAGATCTTGACAACTTGGCAACCGCAGCGGCGTAGTCTGACAACCGGGGGATGACCACTTCCGTCCGCCATTTTGTGACTCGGAGTCATAGGGACTCTATGTGATTTCTCAGGAATAAACGAGACAAAGAAGTGACGCCATTTTGTGTTATCCTGAAATCCGCTGGTTCTAGCGGGCGGCATGCTTCGCCCATTGGCAAAACACTCTCAGTATAAACGGCTCTGGGTGCGACCGGATTGTGTCCTCCTGGCGCCTTCCGCTCAGCAAGTATTCCTCCGCCTTACGATTGATGGCGCCGCGGAAAACGGAAGACGCGGAAGGCTTGCGAAGTAAAAAGAACCCGAGATGACCGTGAAGGAGGCGCGACGCGTATAGCGACGCAGGTAGTTTTTGTTTGTGGATATGAGGCAGAAATTATATGAATAGATAATTGTAAGAGATTGGTGGAAAATGGGAGTGTAAGGTGCTGAGTCCGTTTGATGTGTAAGAAAAGCTGACACTGACGCGAAATGTTTCCTCAAAAATGAGGCGAAACTGCGAATGTGGGGTGCGCGTTCGTGGTTAGGGCCGAAATCCTCACGGAGGCCCGCGGTTTTTACTGTCGACTCCGTCGTGGCCGCAGCAAAAGAAATATTGAGTTGATTCTGAATGTCGCCGTGAATACAACGGAAGGTGCGGTGCCCTTTCAGCTGCAATGAGTCGCAAACGTCAACTCTAACGTGCTAAAATAAAACACACGGTGTCCCCCCAGAAAGTTCACGTATTTCTTTTTTTCTAACGCAAAAATGAACTGTGCGTCACAGGATTCTCATTCTCCACCCGAATGTAACGCTATAGGTCCAAACCAGATGGAAAAGTTTCAGCATTGCCCGTTATCTTATAATAAGGGATTTTCAGAAAACTTCAATAGGAAAATAGGGCCTATTTTCGCCCGATTTCGGTAACTGGTGCCACAGAGCTCCGTATAATATAAGAGGCCCATCGGGCGCCATTTTCTCATTGGAAATTACGGAATATCACTTCTAACTTTTTAATAAGATAACGGTTTGTGATACTAGTTCGGCATCTGGTTCGGACCTCTAGTGCTACATTAAGGGGCAACTCTGGCCAAAACTCAAGAAGAAATAAATTACTGGTATCGCTGTAGTGACACAAAATACGACCCCAACCCAAATATTACGTCCGTTGGACGCCGCATTCTCAACTAATGCCGATAATAAACATGCGACCCGCCGCGAGCCGCTGCTCCTTAGCGGGCGGCCAGCGGGTTGCCGATCGCTAAAGCAACATTGGGCCGTGACGTCAGTATCGTTATCTTTTTTTCCTCCGGTCCGGGATTTGCGCGGAGTGCGCTTTTTTGAGCCGCTACCACCGCTACTTCGGCTTGTGATTGGCGTGTTTAGCCATTGCTTTTATCTGTAGCCCGTGTAGCTTCGGTAAAGCCTTCTGTTTATTTGCTTGTGAGGACTTTAAGACTTGTTTTGGCGAGCAACTCGGTGCGCCCAAGACTGCCCAGCTGTTCCTCGAAAGATGCTGAATGCAACTTGTAGCGCTGTGGGCTGCTCAAAGAACCCGCTGCGCAACACGGAGGTGCTTTTTCACAAGTTTCCAACGGAGCGGAAATTGGAGAAGGTGTGGATGAACGCTGTTCGTCGAGCGGACTTTAGACTATGGCTTTTACGCGCCCGAGGAAAAAAGAACGAAAAAACAGACGTGTACAGCCCAGCACACGTGTGTTCGGGCGCCGCGGCCCGCGCCGGAGAGCCTGAAACCTTCGTGTCTGGAACTGACCCACATCGCGAAAGCGAGAGGGCCCCCAGTATACTGTACGTCACTGGCAGCCCGCCGTAGAGCTGCGCCGCTCCATCCACGGAGCCCAGATGACAATTCAGGCCTAGCGACAAGTACGGAAGACTGCACACACGGCGACAGCCGCCGAGTGCGGCACCGAACGAGTTCACTCGTTTTCCAATCGCTATCTTTTGGGTATAAACGACGAGTACGGCATAGCGCAGGCACGGCGGCGGCCGCCGAGTACGGCACCGTACGAGTTCACGGGTTTTCCAGTCGGTAGCTTTTGGGTATACGCACTACCTCTTGCTACATATGCTGGGTAACTGCCACGTATACAGAATTAAAACAAAATCAGCTTACCTCCTATCTTTAGACGGCTAGCGCAACAGGGTTAGGTGCCGCTCGGCCTGCGTACTCGTTGAACGAGAACGATCCTGACGTCACGTTCACATAGCAGCTGATTTCCAGTGTTGCCGGAGCCTCGAGCGGCTAGTTTCGGTTTTGTTGGCCGCGCCCCAAACAAAACTTTGAGGCGTCGATATCTTTATAACTACGCACAATAACGAGAAGAAAAATTACACCTTGCGATTCAGGGACGCCCTGACTGCACTAAAAACAGTCATAATCCCAAAATCGAAAGTATGGACCGGAGTTGCCCTTTAAGGCGCAGAATGAGCGTTCGGCACGCGTAGTTTATTTTTGCAGTTTCCACTTGAATACATCCATACCTAACAATAAATTGCGATTGGAGGGCATAAGTTCAGCTCATGGCCTCCACCAGGGCAATATTCGTGGTTTGTGGTTGGTCTTAACAGCTGTCAATCAACGCGCCCAAGGTCACTGAAATAATTTTGAGCAATGACGTGCGTAATTTTCACTTTATTTTTGCCAATTAATGACCGAACTCTATACATATATGGCTCTGTGGAAGGCGATGGAATCGAGTTTGTATAAAACCCTGCCAGGGAAGGTATCGTGTCAGCGATATTCTTTAATTTAAAGTAGTACTTGCTAAATCCTGGCGAAATAAAATTACCACATGATTATTTATCGACATTGTTCGTACTTTCGATGCATTTTCAAAACCGTGTGAGTCGCTGGCAATTTGAAATCGTCTGCGAAACGTCTGGCGTGATTTTTCTATTCATTTTGTTTGCTTTGCTCCCGAACGAGCTTGTAGCAGACAAATTTCGCGGAAGCAGACAAAATTGGAAACTATCGCCTTGTTCTGGCGCCTGGAGACGGCCAAGATTCTTGAGGTATGAGTGGCTACTGTTATTGCGAACTGTCGGTTGGGTTACGGCCGATGAAAGAGAAAAAAATGGTGACAATTAACTTGGATGAATGTTGAGTTCGGGCGATTCTGTCGTGCTGGGCACAGTGTGACCGCTGTGTAGTGCGACGGCGTACCGCTGGCTTCAAATCACGTTGAACTGAAACTTACCTTGCTTGCACTTAAGCAGCAGAAGCTTATAAGCTAGATCGCCGAAAACATCTACAGGCAGGATGGTATCGAAACCGTCGTCGCATTCACGACACGACTCATGAAGGACGCCGTAAAGTTTGAGTGGACAGAAGAACAACACTAGCGTTTATTCGAAGGGCTTGAACGAAGACGCGGATTCTTGGACATTTCGACCAGTTCGCTGAAACAGAGATCCA